AATATCTCAATTTGGCCCAAAATTTAAAAAGACAAACAAATTTAAAATCATTTAAAATCATTTAAAAGGATTTGTTAGGCCAGCCCGGCTTGTTGAAAAAGGAAAGTTTTAAGGGAACGGCGGAAGGCATGAAGGTCTTTGATTCTCCTTATCTCTGGGGGCAGTTGATTCCAGAGGGTGGGAGCCCCCACAGAGAAGGCCCTCCCCCTGGGGGTCACCAGCCTGCATTGCTTGGCTGATGGCACCCCGAGGAGGCCCTCTCTGTGGGAGCGCACGGGTCGATGGGAGATCGTCGGTGGCAGAAGGCGGTCTCGAAGATAACTAGGTCCTATGCCATGGAGCGCTTTAAAGGTGGTAACCAACAGCTTGAAGTGCACCCAGAAGACCACTGGGAGCCAGTGCAGCTCCCGCAGGAGCGGTGTTATGCGGGAGCGCCATGCAGCTCCCGTAATTACCCGCGCGGCCACATTCTGGACCAGTTGGAGCCTCCGGGTGCTCCTCAAGGGTTATCTTCCCAGATAACATTCTCAAAACTATTCCTTGCCATCCTGCCCAGATCTACCCAGTCAGAGTCCAAATCCCACCGGATCTGAGCGATTTTGTCATACAGATATCGTCCGAAATCCTCAGCCCTGCCCTCCAAGGGGTCCTCCCGCACTCCCGGTTGAAGCAGGGAGCGGGTCACTCTGAACAGGGCCGCCGGATGATTCTCTGATGATGCAATAAGAGCGGAAAAGTATTTAGACTTCGCCGCTTTTATCACCACTAGGTAGGTCTTAATATGCGACCTTACCAGTGTTCGATCAGATTCGGTGAGACTGGCCCTCCAACCGCTCTCCAGGTGTCTTTTCTGGATTTTATCTCCCTCAGCTCCTCAGTGAACCAAGGAGCCGCGAGGGATCGACACCGGGTCAGAGGCCACAAAGGCACGACTCGATCTAAGGCTCTGCTAGCGGCCCGATCCCAGGCCGCCACCAGGTCCCCAACCGAGTCATGTGCTAGAACCTCAGGAAATGGCCCAAGCTCCATCTGGAATCTATCAGAATCCATCAGGCACCTGGGGCAGACCCATCTTGTAGGCTCCGCCTCCCTGAGGCGGGGTGTAGCGGTTCAAAGATCTAGGCGAAGGAGTGAGTGGTCAGACCATGACAAGGGTTCCATGTCTATATCCCCTATAACAAGGCCACTCAACCACTGGCCAGAGACAAAAATCAAGTCCAAGTGTGACCCCCCCCTGTGGGTGGGGCCATGAACTAACTGGGTCAGATCCATGGCCGTCATGGAAGCCATGAACTCCCGGGCCATCTCAGACGTCTCACCAATGGATGGCAAGTTGAAATCACCCATGACCATAAGCTTGGGTGTATCAACTGCCACCGTGGCTATCACGTCGAGTAGCTCGGGCAGGGCCATTGCCACGTGGCAGGGAGCCAGGTACATGAGCAACAGGCCCATCTGAGCCCCATGACCCCATCTCACAAAGAGAGTTTCACATCCGGCAATCTGTGGCACAGTGGTCTCCCTCGGACCAAGACCTTCTTTAATAATAACCGCCATCCCCCCTCCCCTCCCCTGGGCCCTCGGCTGATGAAGCACTCTGAAGCCCAGTGGGCACATCTCAACCAGGGGGACCCCTCCCTCCGGGCCCAACATAACAACATATAACAACATAAAACTGGAGAAGAAATTAAAAATGCAATTTTTCCAGTTTATCACACTGCACATTAATTTAGATCTTGATCTATGCAGTTCAGTTCTACCTAGGTATGAAATAGGTAATACTGCATATCAATAACAGTGATTTTTTAAAAAATTGATTTATATGCCGCCCTTCTCCGGAGACTCAGGGCGGCTTACAATGTGTTAAGCAATAGCCTTCATACTTTTGTATATTTATACAAAGTCAGCTTATTGCCCCCACAAACTGGGTCCTCATTTTACCTACCTTAGAAAAGAAGAAAAGAGTCAACCTTGAGCCTGGTGAGATTCGAACTTACAGTAATTGCAGACAGCTGGTGTTAATCACAATGCTTTTAGTCTGCTGAGCCACCAGCTACCAGCAGGAGCAGGAGCAGAATCAGGAGCAGCAGCTCCTCTTCCTCCTCCCGGCGGAACAGAGCGGAGGGAAACTTGGACCCATTCCTCGGAGGAAACCCAGGTGAGTTAACTTCCCCGGGCGCCCGTTTTGGTCCAGTTTCTTCAAGTATTTGTGTGGGGACTTGCCCACAATTAATTGCAGGGGCAGCGGGTGTGGGACGGTCGGTGTAAGATGCCAGTTTTGCAAAAGGCAAAAAAGTTTGGGGGGCTTTAGGGTTTTTTTTTTCCACCTCCCACCCCCCCTCAATTGGAAAAAGTCTCCAGGGTATTGAGGTGTTGGAAGTTTTTGGTGCTGTCTGAGGTTTTTTATTAACTAACCAGATAATAATCAGGTTGTATGTGAGTGTGTGAGGTGTTTTTTAATTTTTTTTTAATTTAATTTTTTTTTTTAAAGGAAAAGGGCAGGGAGGTTGCCAGTCATTCGTGGTTGTCGTTGGCATTTATTCTAAGGAGAGAGAGATCAGCTTGGTTTGTTTTTTTTTAATTCATCGATTTACAGCAAACTATAAAGTTATCCAATCTCCCAGTTCCTGGAAGTCACGTTTACTGCCAATTAGAAAAGAGCAGGTTTCTATGAGGTATATACGTTAACTTTTTACTACAAAAATTATTTTGTTTATGACATGTTCAAAAATACAGATAGTCCTCAATGTACCACCACAACTGAGCCCAATTTTTTTGTTGCTGAGTGAGAAATTTGTTAAGTGAGTATTGCTCCATTTTACAATTTTTCTCAACAGATTTATTAAGTGAATCACTGCACTTCTTAAATTAGTCACATGGTTGTTAAGTGAACCTGGTTTCCCCATTGACTTTGCCTGTCAGAAGGTCGCAAAGGAGGATCACATGACTCTGGGACACTGCAATCATCATAAATGTGAGTCAGCTGTCAAGCATACGAATGTAAATCATGTTTACATTGCAGCATGGGGATGCTGCAATGGTCATAAGTATGGGAAATGGTCATAAGCCACTTTTTTCAGTGCCATTGTAACTTCGAACAGTTACTAAATGAACTGTTGTAAGTTGAGGAGTGCCTGTACTAAAAAAGAATATACTGGAACATTTACAAGGCAATGATTAAAGAGACACACAATAAGTGTGAGCACATTGTAAGCCGCCCTGAGTCTTCGGAGAAGGGCGGCATATAAATCAAATTTAAAAAAAAAAGTGATATATGGAGCATTATAGCATTTGTATTGCTATAAGATTTTGGATTGGTTCACAGAAAAAACATTAGGAGGGTCAAATGAGTCCTCCGAGAGAACGTAGGTCCAAAGCCCATCTGGATTACTCCAGGAAGGAATTCAGGAGATTCAGAATTAGATGTAAAATATATTTTCAAACGATAATAACTTTCTAGTTACTACGACAGCCTTTGATTCACCCTCAGAGGTTATAACTCAGTGTGTAATCATAAGAGAGAGACCACAGCACTTTCACAACACCACTTGTTTACAGCTGTAAACAAAAATACAATATGTGAAGCTGAGCAATAGATTGTTTTGGCAGAAATGTTTATCTTTTCTGACTGATCAGGCTTTAGATCAAGCTGAGAAGGAAGGAAGAGTGTTACAAATCCATTTATATATTACCATCTGTGCTACAAACTGAACTTGCGGAAACATTTTGCTTATGATTTTAGAAGCCTGCAGCAAGCTCTCATCTATCATCTGTCTGTTATCTATTTCACCTGCACTGTACTTGGATCACAGATAAATTAACAATTTTCACAGTATATTTTCTGACTGAAAACTGAAGTTTTACTGATAAATGTAACAGAGTAATAGGATAACTGTGTTGGGAATATATGTTCACCATAGTTTATGGTTTGTTGTGATGGCAGGTTGTTGTATCAGCTGGCAACTTCCTGCAGCCAGGCAGAGCTTCCCAATGGCCATTGCTGGATGGTTTTCAATTTGTTTGTGGTTGTGATGTCATCTGCTCGTAACTTCTACCCTCTGTTAGAGACCTTCTAGTGTCAACAGAGATGTTGACAGATGAGACAAGAATCCAAAAATGGTAGTTGGCAAACTATGCAGGCCAGAGAAAGGAACTATATGTGCAATCAACTGCATCCATGATATACCCATAAACCATAGTGCATCATCTGAATCAGTCCAATGTGTAATTAACGGCCCATCCACACTGTTGTTTCCACTCTCTACTTCTTCAAAAACAGTTTGAAGTTGACGTGCAGCTTGGCATTCCGAGAACATAACAGAGTGTTCTCTCTAACAGGCCAATCAGAGTGTGCTAAAAAGGGGCATTCAGTCGGTACTTCATACACTTCAAACATGCCCTGATCTGGTTGGCTCAAACACCCTTGGCCATTTGATCATGGTTAGATTGAGTCAGAGACAGCTTTTTCCCATCCAAGCCTATACAGCCTCTAGGTACTCAAATATATTTTATGTAATATATATCTTAATTTTGTAGCAGAAAATTATATAAAAACATTTATACATTAGACATGTATAGAAAGACATTTATAGATAGCATTTCTGTTTAGAAAACAGCAATTATTTTTAAGGTGTTTTAGAAGTTTATGTTTTAGAAATTTAAAAATCATTTCTAAATTCTTTTCTTGACACAAACTCTCAATAATATTTAGCAGCACAAAATCATCCCTAAATTAAAGGTAAATGTACTTAATCAATAGGAAATCTACTCAAATGCAAAGGAGTATTTTTAGATCAACATCAAAATGGCAGATATTATTGGATAAGTGAAGCCCCACTCCTTTTAATATGTGATACATGTTTAAAGGGGAGAGGGCTTCTAGCACTCAGTCACACCTATCATTTTGATGTTATTGACCATCAGTATGGACAACTTGTTTTACATTTATCATGTTTTTAATTCTAATTATTATTTCAATATATATATGTAAGTAGGCATACCTCATGATGACCAGCTATTGTAGCAATATGAAGAGCAGTAAGTGCTCCGTATCCAACTTGTTGAACATCAGCTCCACTGTGCAGTAAAGCCGTTAAAAGTTCTGCATTGTCCTGAAATTTGGAAAAGTAAATAATTATTGATAAAATATATTATGGAAAGTGGTAGAGCACATGTTTTGTTTGCAGAAAGTTCCAAGCGTCTCAGTTAGATCTGAAAAAGGGACTCTTAAGAAAACCTGGAAAACTACAGCTATTGGGTATATTTTGCTGTTTTCCAAACAAGTATATTGATACTAGAATTTTCTACACTGGCTGAAGCTCACGAGAGCTGGAGTCACAAACATTTCGGAGAACAGACTGGCAAATAAAAATTATGCTGAGCTAGATAGATCAATAATGTGTTATTGTCTTAGAAGCCGTATTTATGTTATTACACTAATGAAAATTGCCCTTGATTAAAGTTTGCCGTGGAATGATAACTGAAAAATATATCCTCCAGGAAACATGAGAATCAAGCGCTTTTGAAATCAGATACAGTTAATTAATGTAATCCTGTTTACCTTGTAAGCTGCTAAATGCAGAGCTGTAAATCCATTTCTTGTCAGCCTAGAGGGACGCAGCCCTTTTAGCATAAGGGTCCGAATATGTGTTTTATGTCCTGTGAAATAAACATTGGTCACAGAAGTAACTTAAATATATCAGATACAAGCAGATGAAAGTGCCTATCCTTCAGATTAGTAATATATTTAAATTTAGAAGTCCAATGAAATTACTTGGATACTTCCCTTATTATCCTATATTGGAAAATAAGCAATATCAGTTAAATAATACTTGGGATGAATTCCAGTGTGCTTTTTGACTAGGAAAATGATATATTCCAATACAAGAGATTGTCTGTACCTCTTGTCAAGATAGCTCTTATAAACCATCTCTTCTGATATGCTATGGAGGAGGGGTCTCCAACCTTGGCAACTTTAAGATTTTTGGACCAAGTCCCAGAGTTCAGTTGAAGTCCACAAATCTTAAAGTTGCCAAGGTTGGAGACCTCTGCTATGGTGTCAGCTTTGGAAGCCGGAAGCTTAGGCCGGAAGCTTCCATGCTGCCACCTTCTCATGTGTGGGAAAGTAGGAGGGAGGATTTAGTAGAGGATTTAGTTGTTGGTAGACATAATAGCATTCTTCCTGTCGGTCAAGTTCAGGCAATCCAGCATTTGGAGAAGGAGTGGTCAGAGTGCTAAGTCGAGATGGGACGGACATTGATTGGAGCATGTGATCAACTGAGGAGTGACGGGATGGTTTGGGGGGTTTTGATTTACTGAGGGAAAACCCGAACCTTTCAGATTCGGGTTTTCCCAGATGTGCCAGTTTACCTACTCTAGTAAAGAGAACTTTGGAAAATGCTTGCTTCCGCATCTTTACTCAGAGTTGGGGTTTTCTGGAACGCTGACATTTTGGAGGATTAAGTGATTCAGAGTAGATTCTGAATGTACATATATAGGTGGAACACCCAAGATGATGAAAAAGATCCTAGCATTTACAAGAGATTCTGTCATACATCATTGGATGAGGTGTTCCCTACTGATATTGTAAAATCTGTAACCTATTATTTCTTTATTAAATTTCAGTAACAACCCATTTTCTTTATTAAATTACGGCAACAACCCGTTTTTAGATTAGCAGAAAACTATAATTGCTTCTTCTCCATGGCTCTGTTAATTTTTTTCTTGTTCTAATTTGTAACTGAGTTTAATGCATATGGCCCAAAAGATGACTTTTCTAAATATCACCATCAACAATATCATCATCATCATTATCTGTATTTCTATTTTGTTGAAGCAATTTTGCTATTGTCACCTGATCACTGTGTATGATTAGATCAAATTAATGCTGAAAATTAACAAATAGTAATAGTTTTGCTGTGATTTATTAAAATCAAGTAAAATAATTAACCATAGCAACAAGGATGATACTGGCTGAAATACTTACCATTGCAAATACAACACAGATGTAAAAGAGATAGCCCATTTTCCGTGCGGTAATTTAAATTCACTTTGCTGAAAGCTTCATCAGAGCTGAAAGAAAAAAAGATTTCATAGATAAGTCTAGTTGTCATATTTTGGTGTGTTTTCATTTATTGTGAAAATTCTAAAAGAGGAGAAAATATATTTCATGATTTCATAAGATATGGGAAGCAACATTTTGATTATTTATGGGGTTTTTTTGCACCATAGTTTAGTGCATAGCATTAGGATTTTGGGATAGTTTCCTATTTAAGTACTAAATGGTTCCAACCTAGGTAGTCTTTTCAAGATCAAACAAGCTTAGGTGTGTGTGTTGCTACATATTATGACACTGTCAAAGTAATGTGTGCTAAATTCAGTTTGCTCATTTCTGCTTGCTATTACATAAACCTCATTCTGAAAATTCTAGAGCTACATCACATTCCATTTTCTCCAACTTTCTCTTCAAATCTTTCAAGCAATAGTATAAAAGAATGATGAATTCTGAGATTTATATATCCTGTCACTCTCTTGTTCTCAGAAAAAAACTTCTTTTTTTTTACAGGAAAACAAAAACTCAATGTTAGAAAGCTGAAATAGTCAGGAGAAAAGTTGGCCTAATGCCAAACCTCCTGAATCTGGGGAAACATCAAGAAAGACCATGGCTCGATTTACACATGTTGTAAAGGTGGAGCTCCATGCAAGATCCAATCAAATAGGCAATAGTAATGGAATATTAGGTGAAAAACCAACGACATTTGAAGGGGCACAAATTGTCTTCCCCTAGTTTATTTTTTGCATATAATTTTTGGTATACCCAAAATACCAAATTTTGATATATATATTTTTATTAAAACGTTTAAAAAAGAAGATTAAAAAATAGAAAAGCTAATATCAAGAGAGAAAAAAGGAAAAAAAGGAAAAAGGGAAAAGTGCAACAAGGTGAAAAAAAATAGAAAAGAAAGAAAAAGATATAAAGGAATGGCTTCTGATACTCTTCACAGCAGTTAAACGTACAAATATATTTTAACCTCTCTCCACAACGCTGCATCATATTACTTTTCTTTCTATAATCTATCCCAGAGTTTCTCATCTTCAGCAAATTTAAGCTGTGTGAACTTCAATTCCCAGAACTGGAGTGGAGTTGAAATCCACAAGTTTAAAGCTGCTGAGATTGAGAAACACTGATCTATTCTCTCTAATCATCAAAACTCTAAATTAAAGTTCCTTTTTTATTTTTACACAAGATACTAAACATCGATAATATTTTTTCTGTCCACTCTAGTTTAGAATAAGTAAGCTCTGCATACTTTTCCTGGGCAGTCTTCCTTCTGCACTTTGGGAAGAGAAATTTACAAGCATTGCTTTTCACCGTCATATGAATATTTTTCATGTCATTTCAGTCAACAAACTGATTAAGATCAGGCTTTATGAAAAGTTTTTGTGCTTTCTGAACTATGGTTCCTAGAAACCATAGTTAGTATTGACTACCTTTGTTTGGCAGACAATAAACCTAAATAAAGAAAGGCAGAAGGAGACAGCCACACGAGTATAGCATAACCTCTAACCATATAGAGTTTAATAAGAAAAATGACCATAAGAGTTTCCACATTCCTCTTAGGGAAGGTTAGATGGGAGGATGTGACCCAAGTCTTATTCATGTGGATCTTCTTTTTGTTAACTATTGTTTAGCATCACAGAAGCAGAGAATGCTATTATAGGCTACTAGGTCCTACCCCTTGCTCAGCACAGGAATCTGTTTTAAAGTAGACCCAGCCTTTATCTGAATGCATTGAATGTAGGGGAATCCAGTACCTCTCTCAATAATTGGTTTCACGGTCAATGGCTGTTATTGTTAGGAAGGCTTTTTCTTGTAATATTTAATACAACAATCCCTTCTTGTAAAATCATTATTCTTTGTCCTAGGCTCTGGAAATAGAGGGAATAGATGTCTTGACCAACATCTTCTCAGGTATTTGAAGATTCCTGTCATATCCTGCATTCCCTACAGCATTTCTTTTAAAAGTTAAAACATAGTTTCTAGTTTCCTCAGTGGCCTATTCTGAACTTATCCCAGTTTCTCCAAATCCTTCGTAAAATGTTGTGCCCAGAACAGGACATATTATTGGAGGTGGAGACCATTCAAAACAGAATAAATGGAAATATATTTTTTTTCCAGTGATTTGGAAAATATGATTCTTCAGCAAACTTCTTTTGTTGTGGGGTTTGTTTTTTTGGCAGGCTATTCCTTCCAGTATCTTTTTCATAAGCACTTTGATCAAACTGGCTCAGGACTGGAAAACAGAATCCAGTCTTGGCTTTTCACTAGCTTGATTTATTTATTTGATTTTTATCCTGCCTTTATTACTTTATAAGTAACTCAAGGCAGAAAACATACCTAATGCCCCTTCTTCCTCCTATTTCACAACAACAAGCCTGGGCAGAGAGAGTGACTGGCCTAAAGTCACTCAGCCAGTTTTTCATGCCTAAAGTGGGACTAGAATTCACGGGCTCCTAGTTTCTAGGCCAGCACTTTAACCAGTAAACTGGGTCTCTTATGATAATGTCATAATCAGAGCCCAACCAATACCTTTCTCTGTTGCAGATATATTAGCAAGGAATGCCTTCAGTTCCTGGTGCCAGGAACCCTGACCTAAACTTTTCACAGGGAAGAAAAACAATGAGCAAAGGAAATACTAGATCCTGTGAGATACCTTTGCCCAGTCTGCAACTTTTTCCAAGGATGGGCTTTCTTACTTTTTACCTTGTGAAGTGCTTCTTTTCTTCCTTTTGTATAGCTAACCCATTTTACTGCTTGACTGCCTTAAAACCTTAATAAAGATTAATTAAATTTTCAAGAGAAACAGGGAATAAGGAATGCTTTTAAAAAATCATAACATTATTTTGCGTCTTGCTTATGAAAAGGATGATCCTTTTTTTTAAAGAAATTGTTATCTAAAAACATCTGTAGTCATTTCATTGTAATTTTCTATTAATCTGAAGCATAATATTCCATTATATAGGTATAATTAAAAGAATTTCATTTTAAGCAATATCTATCTTTAAGAAAGAAATGCTATTTTCTCCATTTTCCCCTCATTTTCTGTACAATTGCACCACACAACTATGCTGGCAATTTCTACAGCCACTGAATATTAGGTATGCATTAAAAAATTCTAAGCCCAATTTATTTTTTAATTTTCTTCTACTGCTATTGAACTGATACATTTTAATACAGCCTAAGGATTTCATGGTGCTTCCCAAAGAAGTATATGGATGAAGTGAATAATTAAAAGGAAAGCATTATTAGTAATGCGCTTCTAATATTATGATATTCACCTAGGATATATAGATACGTGATCTTATTAAAAACTGATCTGCAGCATTAGTACTTGTTACACACAGGTTTTAGCAAAAATGCAAGATTGCTAAAATGCTACAGAATTGGCAGTTTTATGATTCATTAACTATAGTCATTTACCTCCTATTACAATTGTATGCTAGAGAAACAAAACAGCATTCATTAATGAAAATATAGTTAAAAAAACTAGCAACAAACTAAATATATAAACCAAACTTCACAAAAATCTTTAATTAGTAAATACATAGAAGCAGCACTTTTTATATTTAGAGCTGCTTTCACTGGACATTCTCTCCCATCCCTATTCTCTATTGATTTAAGAATAGATTCTTATAGAAAAAGAAACAATAGCTGAAATAATGGCGAGCATTTATTAGAAGGCCAAATTTCAAAATGCGTTTTAAAATTGGATTATAAAAGTGCCATGGGTTTGCAACGTGTCCCAAATTATTTTGTAGTTGACAAATAAGTTATGGAAAAGTTTTGAACTGATATCTCTTTCTTTTTGTTGCTTCTTTCTTACATAAGAAAGAAAAACATAATCAGTTCAGCAATAGATTTGTGCATGTTAGATTTTTTTAAACAAATTCCTTAAGCATCTGATTACTTTTCTGACTATTCAAGAGTGTAATCTTAAAATTGCATTGTAATTAAAAAGGTAGAAAATTTGTGATGAATGATTTTTGTCTGAGAGTCTTTTCCCAGGGCTGATTTGAAGGCCTATCCAGACCTATTAGAGTAAGCCAAAACCACCACAGCAGTGCAGTGATGGCAAATCTTCTGGGTCTGGCATGTCAAAAATTCAGAAAATCCTTGACTCTGCTGGCATGTCACACTGCTAATCCCCAAACCAAAGAGAAGCAATTCTCTATCTCCCCCACCACTCGTTCAAGCTACTCTGAACAGTGGCAATCTGTGAAGCACCTAGGGTGGGACTGAACAACAATAGCACTTAGACTTATATATCGTATTTTTCGGAATATAAGATGCACCAGAGTATAAGTCCCATCTGGACTATTGTAACGCTCTCTACATGGGGCTCCCCTTGAGGAGCACTCGGAGGCTCCAACTGGCGCAGAGTGCAGCCGCGCGGGTGGTGACGGGAGCGACGTGGCGCTCCCATGTAACACCTCTCCTGCGCGAGCTGCACTGGCTCCCGGTGGTCTTCCGGGTGCGCTTCAAGGTTTCGGTTATCACCTTTAGAGCGCTCCATGGCTTAGGACCTGGTTATTTAGGGGACCGCCTGCTACCACCAATAGCTCCCACCGACCAGTACGCTCCCATAGAGAGGGGCTCCTCCGGGTGCCGTCGGCCAAACAATGTCGACTGGCGGCCCCCAGAGGGAGAGCCTTCTCTGTGGGGGCACCTACTATCTGGAACGAGCTCCCCCCGGAGATACGGAGGATCCTGGATCTGCGTACCTTCCGTCGCGCGCTCAAGACTTTCCTATTTCATCAAGCTGGCCTGACCTAAGTTTTTCCCCTTTTTAAATGGAAATTTTAAATTTGGTTTTAAATTATTGGGGTTTTAAATTTGTTCAGCCAAATTATTTAATTCGTTTTAGTCTATTTTAAATTTTGTATTTATATGTTTTATTCTATGGCTGTTCACCGCCCTGAGTCCTTCGGGAGTAGGGCGGTATACAAATTCAATAAAATAAATAAATAAAATAAAATAAATAAGACGTACCTACCTTTTTTGGTCATTTTTT